CAAAAAGTTTTCAACCATACTGTAAATCGTACAAAACAGTTGCAAAATGAGCAAAAATATACCATAAGTTACAAAAAAAATTAATAAAAACTATACCAATGTCGTAGAATGCCAAAATCAAACGAAAAAAGACGAAATTGTAAAGAAATGAACTTGAAGACTAGATTATTCGCTAAACCATATTCTGTGCCATTTGCTCAACCCTCATGACCACGTAGATTTCATAATAAAAAGAACTTTTTTTTTTGCAAAACTTTTTTTTTATTCGCACGCGCGCATCAGTTTTGGGGCTCCCGGAGGATGTCATCCATATAATCAAATCAACATGGCCTTAGTGTCACTATTGCTATGTATTGTGAGCGAATTCGAATACATTGAGGCTGTGAAAAGATATACAATGGATTTTATAGAGGAGGAGAAGAAAATCAGGATACTCAGAAATCAGTAGATAATACTGTACAATAAAGTCAAGTCAGAGAATAAGTAAAAGAACATGTCTACAACGAACTAGGTATCTTACGTTTTGCTCTTCAAAACCTTTGCATTTTCTCTGACTTTCCATCGGCTTTACTTTCAGCACCAAGGACAGACACCCCACAGGAATCTTATACTGCACTTCCTGTAATGAATGACGGGTGGATCTCGTTATGGATGAGTTGCACGGGAAATTGCAGTCCGGTCCCACCGTATCACGTTGTTTCAACCCGGAGCACGCAAAGCTTATCCGAATTTCCTCCACATCAGCATCAGCTGTGGAAACAGGGACCGGAATGCACAACGTCCTGTTTGAAGAACCTGAAAACCCTCTGTAGGCGCCTTTTGCATATGGAGAGATTACTATATAGTTGTGTACGTGTAACAATCTACTAACTTTCATACCGCAAAGGAGCTCGAGGTACTCGTAGTCTTTACACTGACAGAATATCTCGTGCCGTTCTGACTGCAAAAGTGAATTCGCTCTCCCCGTGGGTGACATTACCTTCGTTGCACTTTCAGTTCCTACTGTCACCCTCTGTATGAGAGTTCGATCTTAATTTTTGTGATTCTACTTTTTATCGTCTATGTTAACTTTATGACCGGAATTTGTAATTTGGGGTGTGATGGCTTCCCGAGTCCCGACTCGACAGGGTCAGGTAGGATCGTTTACTTAATCACGTGACTTGTAGGTAAGAGAGAGTTCCCAAGCTGTTTTTCATTATTCACTCGAAAAACTCGTCCTGAAAAATTCATGGCACACGTCTCAGCCGATTTGTACCAAGGATGCATTTTCGTATTTGCGGACGTTAGCCTTCTTCATTTCCTGATAATTTGTAGTATTTTATCCCCCATTTGTTCCGTCCAAGGAGTCCCAGAGGAAGACTGATCTGGCTGTCCTCCTTACTTAAATGGTTAAAACTAATGGACCTGCAAGCACACAAAATGTCAAATGGCGGGTTTAAGTGGCGCTCTATTGCCTTATTGGTCACTAACGTAAATTAATAGGAAGGCTAACGAAGGCTTGTTATGGAAGATGTCCATTTCGTGTTCCTCAGTGTCCATTTATGTCTGGAACTGACGATATCATGTTACTGAGTACAAGGAAACGGGAATTGCCAGGGGACCTCGCCTTTTGTGTCGATTCCAGCCTGAAATCGACTGGACGGCGTCCGTAATAGTATTACAAACGTCCGGACAAGACGGGGGCGACCTTGGCAGATCGGGCAGAGGAAGTGAAATGGTCGGCCCGCTGCCCTACCGTGTCGTGACACCGAGTAATTCCTCGCTCCGGATCAGATTAAATGTTTCCGAGAGGGGATAATTGTGGGCAGATAGACGAAATTAGGTGACATTAGGATAGAGTACAGCTGACCCCGGGGTTGAAAGCTCACTGACATATTGAATAAGGTACTTATCCTGCCTACACGTAAGAGCCATTACTCTGTCGACGTTATTACTGGCTAAATAGGCCGCCCTGATCCCTAAAGGCCGCTGCTGAAATGATTTCAACGGTCGCTTGGTGCTCCAAGAACCTACACAATCTATATAAATAAAATATAGCAGGGCAGGAATTGAATAAGCAAGGAAATTTCCGACACTCTTGAGTAGAAGACCACTGAATAAAAGACGCTATGGGATTTTACCCATCGCTAGTTTGTCATCCTCATTTACTGGGAGAATAGGGAGGCAATGGATTGAAAGGGTGGGAGGGATAAAAGGTGCTTTATTGAATAAACGAGCAACACGAAATATAGCAGACTTTATGTTGTTGCCATTGTACGTTTCAAAATAAAAGTCCACATACACTGTAAAGGGTTGATTCGTTTATGCCTCTGCAATAGTAGATTGTAGATTTGAGGGGGGGGGTGCTCAGAAGTGCTAAGAGTAGTGGAAAGGTGTCGTTCCTTCTGAAGCTGGGGGTCCATACAACCAAATTAGGTATGCTGACATGTGCCCACCCCTTTTAAACGACGGTGCATCACCCAAACGCTAAATGTCAAAGATGTACTGAGTTGAATTATTAGAAGGAGAATTTTTGAAAGATATTATTGGAAGAAAGAAATCTTTATTTGCTTTTAAATGTCCACATGAAACGGTGGTCGTTTAAATAGGTCATCACTTCATTTATTTCCCACAGGCTCAATTTCTGTGTTAGAAATACATCTCTTTACAGTAACAAAGTTCCTCTTTAGAATCAGTGGTTATTTTGTGTCTGTACGTAGTACATTCGTACATCATTCAAAAGATGTCCAAGAAAGCTTAAGAATTACATTTTTTCTTCGAATATTCAAAGACAGTCATCTGTAGTTAGAATTTCAATAGCAAGGCGGCGCTTTTATGTAATACACAAATTCCAATATGGCTGCGGTGTTGTCGAAAAAAATACCAACTTCTTTATTTCTTGTTGTCTAGATTTTTACACACATCGTAGGGTAAATATGATTGACGTATCAATACCACAGTTTAAACAGATAGAGTCTGGTGACGAAAAAGCGTACACGGTAAGGCCATCGTATTTTTCTCGACATTTTTTATTATATTGATGGGGAGGGGGGCGTTACGATTTATGGTATTCGTGTAACGGCTTCACTAGTTTTGGGCCATATATGCAAATGATGGCTTATTAGCATACGGGCACCCAAAGCATACAGAATCTATCCCTCTGCCCCTTCTCTATCCCTCCGCTCTTTTTCTATCCATCTCTATCGCTCTGCCATAATATATGCCCTTTCTCTGTCCCGCTGCCCATAGATTTCTCTATCCCTCTGCGGCTCTGCCCCTTTTCTGTCCCTCCGCCCAGAATGGGCAGAGTGAGAGAATTTCTCTCACTCTGCCCATTCTCTACTGCCCATTACGCTAACCCTAACTTAGGGTTACCATAACCCTAAACTAAGTTAAGGTTACGCTAACTCTGATTTAGAGAACAGAGGGGATGTTATAAGACTTGATGATTTGTGTATGCAAAGGGCAGATACATATAGGATATGTGTTAAAGAGCACTAGTGTAGTGGTGTACAGTGTAATATAGCTTTGAGTGCCCTTATGCTAATAAGCCATCATTTCCATATATGGCTAATGAAGCCGTTATCCGAGAAATTATGTTACTTGGTATGCGAGGCCACAGCAGTAGCCGGGCAGTACTGTAGTAAATATGACTACGAAATGACCTATGAGAATGTAACTATTGCAGGAAGCCTACTAGTATAGTATTCATTATGCTGTAAACTATTGAAACAGATGATAATGTGTTGCCAGAGGAATACATAATATTTTGATACATCTCTAGCAGCACAGCTCTCCAATAATGAAAAAATGAATGTTTCAAAATAATATTCCTTTGAATGTTTCAAAATAATGTTACTGCAGTGATTTCATGCACATGTAGGTTGTCAGTTCCTGGAAGAATGCTATTTATTTGCATGAAATAGAGTTTAGAGTTAAAATTGGAACCATGACCTCCTGTGGTTTACCTGTGCGCACCTGTCCCAGGTGTTTGTTATCGAGGTGTGTGCTGCAGGACGGCGACACACTCTGGAGAAACGCTACAGTGAGCTACATACTCTGCACAGGGAGGTAAGGTCCACTCTGCAGCCCCCTCTTTTGGAATAGAAATGAACTGCAGTATTACTATTAGTGCATGATAAAGTCTCATTTATAACAGCCATATAACCTATATATACATAAAAGCATTGTTGGACAACTGATTTTAGACTTGACTTTTTTGCATTGTATACAGTCAGAGTACATGTACTGTGTAAACAAGACCAGAGCTTTCAACAAATGTGAAGATTTCAGTCTCAGTTGTTATAAGATACTACTGATTCTCTTTTGTGTATATAGAATGTAATTGTAAATGGATACTGTGAACAGTTGCTTGATGAACTCCACAGCTGAAGAAGACGTACCTTACACCAGAGTTCCCCCCTAAACGTGTGCGGAACTGGAACCCAAAGGTGCTGGAGCAGCGCAGAAGGGGACTGGAGACATACCTCCAGGTTAGTCCCAGGCACACAGCTGGAAAATTCCTCTCTTCATGTATTTTACTTCACTGCATACGTTTGTCAGATCATATCAGTTATGATATCACCATGTTTCCAGGAACTTTGGGTTTTAAGGTTTTACTATCTGATGATGCTATCTGAGAAAGAACATCTTTTGCCAGATTGCAATTTTTTCATATCACCTAGGGGTCTCTGCTGCAAAACATTCACCATCTCTTCCTCTTTCCTCTAATTTCTCTTGGGCACAATCAGAATAGAGTGGCTTTTGTGTGAGAATTGTATGGTGGCTGTATAGAATTGTTTTACTCCATTTTGTGGCAGGGTTTGATACACCAGGACATCCTTCCCAAGATCCTCCTGGATTTCCTGGAGATCAACATGGCGACCCAGCTAGGCTACGAGTCAGTTTGTTTTTTATCCTCTTCATGTGATAAGTCAGCCGTCACGCCACGTACTAAATCGAACGCGTTTCGAACCGTTTTTATTTGCAGTTCGAATCGATCCGCGATCCCTAGCAACGCCGTTGCTAAGGAAACTCTTTTCGCGCGGCAGTTGGATGAAATTTCATCCGACTTTCACAGCTGCGTTGAGCCTGGTTTGTGGCATATTTACCTACGTTGCGTTACATGTACCAGGTGGGAATGCCATGTACTCTTGACATGATCAATTTTTGGAGGGTTTTATAACGTATTTTGTTAGATAAATGGTCACATTTGCTAAACAGTGAAATCGTCAAAATGGCGGTGCCGAACTGAGCTAAATTTTCGACGAAATTCACATTGGGGGCATTTGCATGTCGCCCTCGATTCTGTCTGATATGACCATTGAGTAAGATTCGTTGAATCTTTGACTATGTCTCTTGTGAAAATCTTGTTGGATCAAAATCTGGAAATGCTTGTATATTCATATCAACCGGGGCCACGTTCTCGGCCGTTTTACGCCAAAAGTTCTAAAACGTTGGTTTAGTTGATTCTAGGGCAACCGGCGTTTTAGCACAAGTTGCGGTAGTAATGTACCTTCTCAATATTGTCAAAGAATGCCTACAGACACAGACTACGTAAGTACGAACTGAATCAGCAAATGCTTCCTTACTCTTGCAGGTATTATTACTAAAATCCAACGGTGCGGGTCTGGCGTCTGGTCTGTGGAACGCACTTAAAGCCCGCGCTGTTTTTGGAACGAAAACGATGCCTCTGATGAGGTGGCCTCGCGCGATTACAAAGGAAGCTCATTACGTCCCCAAAATTGATAACAAATTATATACGGACAGAATGTAGAGACTTCGGGCTATTTTACGCACTAGATTTCTTTTTGTTGTGAAAACTGAAATAAGGTAAAAACATCGGTGGAATTTCCACCAAAATCAAGTGGTTTCAGGTCATATTATCAAACGAGCAGAGGTTAACAATCGTTTTAAAAAGTCACTAGGAGTAAAATAGGAAGCTTAATATTCACAGATACAATGAAATAATGAAGATATATAGTTATAAACTCAAGCAACAAGCTTTGTAGTAAGAGGTCCCGACTCCCGGGGGTTATAGAACGTAAAATTGTCTCAAAACGGCGCGCGGTTCGCCGTGAGAGTCAATCATAAATCTTAAGGTCAGATTTATATAACTTCGGGTTTGTGAATTGACTTGAAACTCGGAATCCATACACAGGAGACCATTGTTAACATAATTCCACATGGAAATTTACGTTCTACGGAGCGAGGACCTGTCCAGAGTAGGTGATAACTAAAAATGTCAAACCGGGCTCGTTCTATTCTGGAATCAAAATTATGACATGACCTCGCGCGTTTTGGGGGCATCTGCATGTCGCCCTCGAAATCGATAACGAGTTATATATCAACACAAACTAGAATCTTTGCTCTTTCATACACACTAGATTTCCTGTTGGATCAGAATCTACAACAAGTTAGAAATGAGAACGGGAATTCCACGAAAATTACCTGCTTTCGGGTCAAATTCTTGAAAGGATCACGGTATGCCATTGCTTCAAAAATGTATAGGAGTAACAAATGAAGCTTACACATTATCAATAAGTTAAAGTTAGGAAGATAAATGATTGCAGACCTCAGCTACAAGCTTTCAGGTAAGGCGTGTCGGCCCCCGAAATCATGGAACGGACTACTTTCTTTCGCGGAAGGAAAATAAAACTGCCTCGAACTCTCGACGTGGCGTGGCGGCTGATTAACTTCAGCAACCGTTCGTGTCATCACATCCCAATGATGCACCTATCAAGCCATTCCCCTTGTTTGACATAGGCGACACCCTTCCATCACCTAACACACAAGCAAACCTCAGCAGAATTCACCATACTTGGAGGTCGCATCCTGAGTATAATCTTGATTGAGTATAATATTGTGACTGTATTGTACTGATTTGATAACATTAATGTTACTTGTGAACAATATCCTGTCATGTTGTCATGGCATCTTATGATTTTACAAAAGGCAAACGAAAACGACTTATTAGACAGCAGATGCCGCATTTTTACAAACTGATCTGCTCCTCCTGCGACGGGGACATATCAGTCGAGACTGTTGGCCGGCCAAATAGCCAATCCTCCAAGTAATTCTTGAGACAATCAAAACCATGTTTAAACCTATGTGACCATGACCTAAAAAAACAGAATGCTGAACGTCTTCTCCGTGAAGGACCTGACATGTGTCATTGTTTCGAAATGTAACTTTGCTGTTTTCACACTGTCGTTCGACTTTATGATGTGACATTGAGCTGTTCAGAAGAGAAGTAAATAATAATGATTGGTAGAGCAATGCTGTATCTATGTTGGTAGACCTTAAATAGTAGCAAATCATATAGGGTGAGCATCTCTAATGCAAGCATGCAAAGATTTTTTTTCATTTGCATTGCATTAGTTAATCACAAATGGCATTAACATCCAAAGAAAAAGTCTAAGCTGAACCAGCCCCCACTGAGCCCGAGGCACAGTCCCCGAAGTCTGGGTTTCCAGGAGGCTGGACAGCTGTAAAAATAGACCTAACCCTGAGTAAGCTGGATGTTCTGCCGGAAGCCAGTCAGGTAACTTCAGTTTACCATTAGCTCTGTTTTCAATGTTTACATACGACGTAGTGCATGTAGTTAAGATTGGGAGAGGGGATGAATGTCTCAAGTTTGCAAGCTGTGCTTGCTTTGTTGCAGAAAATGCTGTTTCGAACAACCATAGTAAGGTCTCATGTGTCCGCCTGTTGGTGTTCTAGATGGTTGGTGTCTGGTCGTCATGTTGTTTGATGTTAACCTCAGGAGTTGCTGTAGAGGAAACACAAAGAATTGAACTGCAAGTCAAATAATTATATTTTTCTTTTAATCGGTGCCGACCAGAATACAAAATTGTTCAGATTCTCGAAGGGACATTAGCTGACTTAAAAATGTCCAGTGGAGACTTTGGAACGACGTCACCCCTACTAAAAATAAATATCTTGGCTGAATTATATCACCACAGCATAAACAACACGAATAAAAAATATGTATGTGTTAGACCAACTTCACACGGCAAGTCGTCCGCTAATATTGTCCAGCACACAGTTCTCGCCCGCGGACACGTAAACAAGATAATCCATCACAGATGTCAGCCGCGGTCGGCCTTCCAAATACTGAACATTGGCAAGTTTTGTCAAGAACTGTTAGAAAGGGCGTAATGTTGTGTCAACATAGTACAGAATGGTTCCTACAATTATGAGCTATACACCAGGGAAATAGGTCTGGACAAACTGACATAGTGGCGAGGCAAATTCCACCAGCGGCCGGCCTTACACAACACGGCGTGGCTCAACTACACGGCAGAATAAATCAACTTTCCTCTACAGACTTGTCCACATCTACATACGAGGAACTTTCACATCTACAAGATTCACTCTTGGCAAGTTCGAAAACAATGAATTGACAATTTGGGACACAGAACAACCAGACATTGCAGCACCTACCTCACACCACCGCCCTTCCTCTCCAACTGAAGCTGGGTCGGTGTGCGACGGGATATTCTGACTGTATTCATCCGCTCCGGACCAGTAATTACTGTGTACAAACATTTAGGTTGTAAAAACAAGCATGGTTATAGTATCTTGTTACTGGGCAGATAGAGCACAGTCGGGAATTTATGCCAAGAGTTAAAAAACAAACACGTATAACCAGATGCTGCGAACTTGTCACGTACTACTTTCTGGCGGCACATGTGTACATCCTGTCTGTGGAGGATATGCGGTGGTGTGGTCTAGCGAGGCTCACTTGGGGTTTGTCTGAACATGTTTTCAAGTATCAGAAAAGGGGGTGAGCGACATGCGAAGATTTCGGGGAAGCGGCAAGAAAAGAATGAACTGTTTTTGTTGATGTCTTTTCTGTATGGCCAACTTCATGCATTTTCTGTTTAAGTGATGGCCAGTTTTTTTTCCTGATTTTTTTCCCTGTAGATACACTACAAATATGGCATATTGTAGAAAGTTAATTTTCCATAGCCTGGGCTGACATTATTCTAGAATCTAAGCCACGATCTGTTCAATGACTTGTGTCATGTCTCATAATCAGGTCAACTTTGCTTGCTTGGTTTCACAAACGTTGTCTTGCAAATGCCATGTGAACTGCAGTCGTCGCACAGCATTGGGACATAACCGAAACCAGGCTCGAACTGTTTCCAGGCTACGTTGGTCAGGTTATATTAACAAGTAACGGTAGTCGGAAATTTCCGACAACACGGGTTATCAGTCATGATGCTGGACCACATATGATGCTGGCTGATAACAATCTCAGCGTAACCTGAGCCTAAGAGATGAAAAGATCGTCTGCGTTGGCCAGGTGTCTGTTTTCAAAGCTCTGATTTAATATGGAACACAAGTCTGCGAGAGTCTGGATTAAGGAGTGTCATGTTTATGTGCAACAAGAATAGAATAAAATTCACTGTACTGTATTCGTACTGTCTGAAAATTACAATGAAAATTACAAACATATTTTTGTCTTCTTTTAGGTGATGGCTTCAAGACCTGTACGGCTCATTTCTGGACCAGGGCAATCCGTTATATGTCCGTATAACGATGCTCACATCGTTCAAAGCAACAGATTGCTGAGACATATTCTAAAGTACAGGAAGGTCAGTCCTTCTTTTATCTTGTCTCTGTAAATAAACATCTGGCTTGAGTTTCCTTTTTGGATACAGACTGCAACATGTATTGAGTCTAATGCCCCGTTTGACTTGTGCAAAATGGTATGAACAAGTGGAGCACGCTATTTTGTTCGTCTTACAAGGATGTTAAACCTCTTTGGTGTAAATTTTCAGACCACGGTGGTAAAATCTGGGCTGTAAAGTTCCCACATTTCATAGAATCCGAACAGTGTTCGATCGTGTTCGATCTGGGCGATTCGAATCGAACCCGCGTTCCATTTCGGGGTCACATGCGGTCATTTACAATAAAGCGGCAAAACAAGCCCTTCTGCCTGAGTGACTCGCAACAGATAAAAAACAACACTTTTCTATAGATTCAAACAGTTTCCAGGATAGTACATGTCCGCTGTCATTTTTTGTGGACATGTACAACATGTAGCGAAGCTACTGTCGTATGCTTGGGTGACCTTGAACACTGTAATGATTCTTTACGCCTGTATGAATAACACGGTGCACACTTTTGGGAGATATGACATGTCTGCAAAACTAGTTCAAACCTGGAAACATGGAGAGTCAAACATACCCCAATTACGGCTCAAAATGACTGTCAGGGTTGTCCCGAAAATCGTGCTTTTGGGATTTTTGAAAAATGCGCTTGATTTTGAATTATGGGTAATTTAGTGCAAAAAGAGCCAAAAAATTCGATTTTTTCACCTATTTGTCGACAAAAACTATACTTAAAGTCAGAAATTAAAAAATCCCTAAAGCACGATTTTTCATCTTATTCCTAGTCGTCGAAAAATATAAAAATCAGTGATCTTGCGTAATATGTGTAGCCAGGTTTGCTCGGTGATTGGTTAAAATATGACGCTCCGAAATCCCGAAAATTATCGACTTTTTTAACGAAATCCGAAAAAATCATCCATTTAGCGCAAAAAATCACCATTGAATGTATGTAAAGACGATAATTTTATTTTATTTCAACGAAATTTTCCCTTCGATACTAGTTTGGTTATTTTCAAATGTTTTACGTTTAGCCCAAAATTGCGTCTTGTAACCCGATACTTTATCGAACGCACCCGGCAATGGGAAAGAATGCCGTAGTGACAGACCACCGTGGACAAGGACTGAACCAAGCCAGAAATGGGTTTGATACAAGATTAAACACACGAGGAGAGGCCTATTGGCATATCCTTCATGGCATAATGCATGCAGCAAAAGGGAAATCTTGTAACCAACATCAGTTGTAACGTTTACAACAGGTCACTCAATGATTACTATTCAGAAATAGTTTTACCATGTAAGACATTTATCTCCATTTCACCCTGGTGCATATAAATCAGTAGGCGCGTTAACGTGTGAATTGGAAGTATCTAGCATATGGTTGAAAACTGCAAAATAAGATGTACTCTCACACCTCGTGGGCTAATGAATTGAAATGGGGTAACAGGAACCAATCATTTGATCTTGGTATGTTACAATGCTACACTGTTTAGCATTCAAGTGAAGCAACATGTACGTCTTGTTGATTAATGGTACCTGTCTAAAATTTGGGTTCCTGTCAATTTCAGGTTTACTTCTCACGACGACAAGTAACAGATATTGCCGACAGGGAAAAGACGGGGTAATTTGTCTTAAGATAACCTGACTTTTCGGGGCCAGCCTAAGTGTAGGGACGTGTCTCAATTTCACTCAAGTCCAGACATGTGTATTTCTAGTAAAAATTGATGTTAACATCCTTGCATTTTGGTTTAAATGACCAAGATTAAATCAGATTATTGCAGTGATATTTTAAAAATAAAGATCAAATTTATACTTTAACATTAGTAGCAAACTTCGAAAAAAGCGTACGTCTTGAATTAGATTATTGTGTGAAGTCAATTGGGAAATCCCCATGACTAATTGCTGACAAAGCGAGATGGCTAACAGAGCATAAAGTATGTTTATGTACACGGCAGAAGGAAAGAAGTGCTTGATGACAGACATGCATGGACGTTCATAGAGGTATCTTCATAGAGGAAGCTGCCTGTTCATGTCTGCTAGCTACCAGCTGATACAGCTGCTTGAAGATGAAGAGATTGGTACAAAGGTCTGCAACCAATAGTCTTCCCTTTTTCCCGACAACAGTCTTCAAATTAGAGCAGAAGAGAAAACACGCAAAATGCAGAGTGAC